CTTGCTGGCAGTCCGTGCCCCAGAGGAACACGTGCTTGTGTCGGGCGCTCATCTCTCGCTCGACGAGGCCGACGACGCTGGTGGCCGTGAAATGCGAGTCCTGCTGCCCCGACGGCGCGTCGACGTCGAACGCGAAGCGGTGCTTGTAGTATCCGATGCGCACCGACACGACGCCGCTTCGCGTCTTGATGCTGAGCGAGAAGAGGAAGTCGAGGTTGTTGCTGTTGCGCAGCAGGAAGGTGCCGAGAGGCGAGTTCTTCAGCGTGTCGTGAGCCTGCTTCCACGTCAGGTCTCCGTAATACCAGTCGCAGCTACTCTGCAGAAGCTCGATCTCTCGCTCCAAGCACTTGATGTCCGGCCAGCCTGAAACGAGTCGAAAACGATGATTGATCAGATCGAGATGTTTTTTTTATGATGGTCGATGGATTTTTTAAGCCCTAGGCGTTCACTGTTTTTCCGAGATTACGTTCAATATATATATATATATATATATATATAGCTAGAACGTTCGGTATATCCTGCGTTGTTGACAGGGCGATAGCTGATCATCTCACTGTCACAGCGCGACTTCGTGGAAGCAATCGATCGATAAAAGCCTGTTTCGCGGAAAATGTGAATGAATGAAACCTTCATTAAAACAACGATAGGCGCATCGCATTTCGTTCTGACTTTTGTTTGCTTTTCCTTAAAACGCAGGAGCGAATGAATTTCTAAAGCAGTCAATCCCTTTCGGTTTCTGCTAGCAACAGCTCTAGCTCACTATTCTCAGCCTCATTAGACTCAGGTCATGACTCATGCAGCTAATAAGAAAACAATGGACAAGGCCAGCTTAAGAAACGCTTTTATATATACGCGCGTATATAAATGATGCACGCGGAGCAAATCACCGCGGTTTAGAATTAACGTGGGATAGCCTACAGGTGTTTAGTTCTAGCCTACTCGTGCAACGTTGTCAGTGTTATGTTATACAACTACTATTGGCCCTATAATTACTGCACGAGTTCCTAGAAACAATAGCAGAACTAATTACAACAACGCACCGGAGGGGATTATATATAAATGTACAATTTCGATGGAGTGACTGAGAGAGAGTAGGAGCACGCAAAAAAGATCGTGCGAGAGAGCGCGCGCGTGCGCGTGAGAGCAATAGAGAGAGGGGGAGAGACGGAGCGAAAGAGTGAGGGGGTCGAGAGGAGAGCTGACGCGTAGGACGTGCAATCGATATAAATGTCTCTTCGGCGGACCAATTCTCCACGGTGAAGGTGCATGTTAAAAGGAAATGCGAAACCTGCTCTAGTACACTATTCCCTATATACCTCATCGGCTCTTCTAATCGTTAAGATTTAGGAGTGGCTACGGTTACGGAAGCCGTATCTTAATTCTCGAGCTACGGGTACGGGGTCCATTTCCGCTTTTCATACTTAACGAGACAAAGATGGCGAGGCGGTGGCGCTAGATTTCGAATAACTGCTTGGCGAAATATTCACGATTTGAGAGTTTTAGATGCGTAGACCCTAACCCTAACCCTAAACCTTAACCCTAACCATAACCCTAAACCTAACCCTAAACCTAACCCTAACCCTAACCCTAACGCAAAAAGGGGCTTCAACGATCCGACGGCTACCGTACCCGTAGCCACTGCGTAAAATTTACCGCACTTTGCACTATGGTTTGGTTTCGCTTTATTTACTGCGAAACGCGTTTACGAAACGCGTCTCTTCCTCTTTCTCTCTCGTGCGGCACAGGTATCCACAATAGATTCGCGGAAGAGGCGGCGTGTGTTAATTTTTCACGATCGCAATGCTCTTGCTGGCATGCTGGAGTGCCGTGGATCAATGCACGCAGCGGCATGGCTCGCTGCTGAGTGATTCCTGGAAATTCCGCGTCTAATCTGGTTCAGTATATATAATAGCCGTGTTAAAAGAAACTGCGCATGCCGAAAGCACTGCAAAGGCGACGTATTCATGAGACTGCGCTATTGCGAGAGAAACTCGGATTGCGTACGTGTGCGTGCATGTGTCTCTCCGATTGCGTATGCTTGCGTATATCCATACAACGCTCGAAGCTATATCTATGTACGATGACAGAGCTCGGTACGGCGACGTGCATCGTTGCTCGCACGCATTTAGAGGGAGGTACGCAATGATGGTTAATAGTAAAGATCATGTGTCATCGTCAGATCATGTTTCATAACAAGCAGTACAATCGGAGCAGCGATATCGACGAAATTTATAAATGACAAGCAATATGAGGAAAATTAGGACACGCGTAATGCGCAGTACTGCACGTAAGACAAGCAAATATGAAACTATTACGGATTTACGCTATTTTGCATCATACGATATATTGAGATTAATACAGTGGTATATATATATATCTACCAATAAAATCAATCACACAATGTAAATAATCTCAAGATCCTAAGAATATATATATATATATATATTATATATATATATATATATATATATATATATATATTTATATATATCTATATATA